CTTTAAGCCATCTTTGGTGAAGCGAATGTCTAGGTCGACCGAGTCGATATGAAGCATTGGTTTTGGCTCCTCCGAGCCACTGGGTCATGCCGACTTATTGACAGTTCTAGATGACACGTTGATGGATTTCTGCCCCTTTGAGGCCATTTTAAAACACCTCTTTACAACTTCTATGTCCTCGTGAAGAGTGGTGACGAGCCCCTTGGTCATGTAATACTTCATATTCAAATGAACGGTAGATGGTACGACGACCATTTTGGCTAGAGTTGGCCTTCCCAAGATGCACTGGTATAGAGACGGACAATCTATCACCAGGAATTGGACTTTGGCCGATTTGGCAGTCTTGACTGCTCTGAAAGTGACAATCAGTTTGACATAGCCCCACGACTTTGTGGTTGCATCGTTGAAGCCCTATAGATCAGAGCCCATGTAAGGTGTCAAATGTGTTTCTTCAAGCTGTAAAGTCAGGAATAACTGAGAGTACATGATGTCGACTAAGCTTCCCTGGTCAACCAGTATGCGGCGAACGCCAAAATTTTGCATTCGTGCTCTCACGAGCAAAAGGATGCTGGAGTTAAGGGATCTACCGGAGACCTCTTCGCAGTAGAACGTGATAGGAACTGAGCTTCCCCGACACTTGTCGATGGCAGAATTTTGGATCGAGCTTGCATCGATGAGTTGCTCGAATTTTTGTTTTACTGAACCTACGGTGAGTTTGTTTAATCCCCCACCAAATATGACCATGGCGGAGGGGAAGGTTTCCCATGTGTTGTATGTTGTAAATTAGAGAGGGGTTTCGGCCTCGTTGGGGACGTAGAAGTCCTTAGGCTGAGAGATGGACATGGAAGTCTGCAGGTTGGCGGCATCGTCAGATGGTGGCTTTTCCTCCTCGACCTTCTTCGCTTTCCAGACGTTTTTCCGAAGAGCTTCTCTTCTCTTATGTATTGTTTCAGGTGCCCGTCCCTTATGAGGATCTCAATAGCATACTTGAGGTGAACGCACTCTTCAGAAACGTGCCCGTGGCTCTTACAGAAACGACAGTACTTGGACTTATTCGTGGTAGGCTTAGGAGGTCTTTGCCTGGGAAAACGGATTTCACCTTGGCGAAATTACGAGTTCGCGCACTTGGACAGGGTACACTCGCGAGAAGAGATTAGTGGTGTGTATTCAGCGAAACAGCCAACAGGTCTTATGTATTCCCGAGACTCGCGGGGTTTATCTTCTTTTCTATTATCCCCTCCTCGGCGAGGTGCTAGGTGGTCATCGTTCCTCGAAACTATGGAGTTTTCCTGGTGTTGGGAGTCTCGAGCATTGTTGGCGATTTCTTTCTCCTCGTACTGAATATAGGTCTAGGCCTTAATGAGGAGGACATCCAGTTATGCAGGCATTTCAATGCCAATGGCTTTGGCGAAGTCACTGCGGGGGAACAATCCTCGCTTGAGCAAATACTTCTTCATGTCATCGGTCGTGGAGACCTGGACGACTTCCCGATTGAACCTCTTAATGCAGACTCTAAAGGATTCGTCTTTCCCTTGCAAGATTGCTTCGAGCGTTGCCTCATACTTTGGATGGCGACGAGAAGCGGTGAAGTGCCTTGAAAACTGCTTTTCTAGGTCTCTCCAGGAAGTGACAGATTCTTCGGCGAGGCTCTTGTAGCACGTCATAGCATACTTCCTTAGTGGGGAACAACCTGCATTTGATGGCGCCTCTAACGTTGCGATAATCGAGCAGAGCGTCGATGTTTTCGATGTGTTTGTCGAGGTATATTTTTCCATCATATGTTTCCAAGTTTGATGGTTTTTCTAGCCCGACGGGAAGGGGAGCGTCCATGATTGGTCGAGATAATGGTCCGCGTGGGTCTTCTTCGTCTCTCCAAACTGGTGAGCATGGTGGAGAATGGTCATACTTCTCTCGTCAAAGATTGTCATCGCGGCATGGCGATGAATCCTTTGGTCGACCCTTTGATTTGTGCGGAGGAGAACGGCGGTTATCTGGCCGTCCAGTGACTTTGCTTTTCTTGGCACCCAGAGAGCGTCGATCCTCACGGGGAGGAGTATGATTGCGCTTCTTGATCATCAAGGGCTACGGCCTTTCTAACTGTGTTCGTCGGCCTGTTCGTCGCGGCGACGAGTTTCGGGACTCATATTGTCGATGTCTCCACGGAGGAGAGCGTGAACGACGGTCCTTCTCCAATGCTCTGATCCTTTCATTTTTTTGGTAGATCAATGCGTTGGTCTGGTTAAGCCCCGCGAATATGGCCGCCATGGTCGGGTCGGCGTTGGGTGGCACTGAAATTGGTTGAAATTTCCCCGGGGTATTCTCTGAAGCTTTCTGGACTTTGCGGGTTTCAATGTATTGAACGCCATTGTCGGAAGAGGGGGAGGCGATGTGCCCGTTTCTCCTGGGTGGAGTGCCTTCATCCAAAAGTGGCATATCATTGTCGTAGTCAGCGTTACGGACGAGAGAGAGAGAGAGAAAAGTTTCGTGACCGTTGTTATTGTCGTCGTGTTGACTGGCCATGATCAGTTTTTGTTTGTTTTGATCCTTTGGCTTCATGGAAAGAAAAGATGGGAAAATAATTTTCCACAGACGACGCCACTGACCCGACCAGTTGATCAGAATAGGTGAGTGGCCAGCAACACTCTGTAGTCATGAACAATCGGCGAAAGAGGATTGTACTTGCAGACATTTTGATGCTTAAGTCAGTTCGGGTGAAGAGGTAAGTGAGAAAGGGTTAGAGAATATAATACCTGACCCTCCTACAGAGGAGGGTTTTTATAGTGAGCCTCCAACGCTTGGCCAATGAATTCCGTTATAGGCTGAGTATTCAGCCCCACAACGGATGACTGTCAAAATTCCCACGTGAAAGCAGGGATGAACAACTCGTGCTTATCGTCCTGGGTCAACCCCTTCACACTCGACGATGCTTAAGTCAGTTGGTGACATGTCCTCGGGTGAGGAGCACGTGGGGAATGTGTTCTTCTCTAACCCCAACGAATTGGGTCAACACTTTGGATCATACTCGACGTAGAACTGAATTAGGTTGTATTCAATGATGGATCAGCCACAGGTCCAGTCCAGAATAAAAATAAATGTTTATTTCAAAATTTTCATTTGTTTTAATTTTATTATAAAATAAAAGCAATATTACACAGATGAATTTAACACGACTTCACGATGTTGCACATATTTTTTTAAAAGGAAAAATTAACAGTCTTATACAATTTTATGTATGGGTTTGAATCACTAGTTAATTTAAAGCTTTTAAGATCAATTGTTTCTTATATATTTTTTTAAAAGGAAAAATTAACAGTCTTATACAATTTTATGTATGGGTTTGAGTCACTAGTTAATTTAAAGCTTTTAGATCAATTGTTTTCCCAAGAAGCCATTCATGATATATAGGCTAATTCTACATATTTGTGTTTTCTTAGTGTTGCAGAAATATATTTTCGGAAATTTTTTTGAATCAATTCATTTATAAAATTAAGGTGTGATTCAAAAACAAATAAAATATTTATATTAGAATGCATTTGGAGATATATCTCCAAAAACGATTTTTTTTTTAAAATAACCATATATTAAATTTAAATTACCACAATAATCAATAATTCAAAAAATTTTCCAAAATGACAAACATTTCCAGCCAATTCGCCATTTGGATTGGCGAAAGAGAAGAAATGGAAAATGAGTTTCAGCCAATTCGCCGTTTGGATTGGCGAATTAGTTCATCCTTTCCAACCAATTCGCCGTTTGGATTGACCAATTCGCCGTTTGGATTGGCGAATGCGTTTGGCTTCAGTTGAAACATTGTTAGTTTGGGAATTTGTTTGAAAACAAGGTTTAAATGGTAATTAAATTATAAAAAGTTATTATTTTAAAAAAAAATTCTCCAAAAACAAAAGACATATTTAAAACTTTGTATAATATATTAGAAACAAATAGAATGCAATAGGATGTTTTAAGAAATTCTGTGTAATATGTGGAGGCATAACATGATGAACCAAAAAAAACAGCAAAAATCTTCGAATTCACTAAGAAAACATTTGTAGCCATGAACAAGTTGTGTAGCAACGAGGTCCTATATATCAAAATGAAGTGATTCACCACAGTTGGAAATTTTATTATTGAATAATTTGTAAGCAAGTCTTTTATGTTTGACAAAGTGTCTTATATCACATACAATGTTTTCATCAATGTTTACAAAATGAGGCTCGTGATGAATATCAAACAACCTAATATTGCATCAAATCCAAGCTTTGTAACTAGAATCGAAATTGGATGGAACTAGAGTTAAACCATCTACAAATTCAAATTTGTTTTTGGCATCAAGTGCGCGATGCACGGATTGCAGCCAATAATGATAATTTGGATGACTGAGAACGGGAGTTATCACCATTGAATAAGTTTCATTAGATGAATAAACATTGAAAGCATTTCTAAGATATCGAGAAGGAACTTGTGGAGGATTTCCACCAGGAGGCAGTGGAGGATTAGAAGCTTTGTGAGCCATCGATGGATGAAGATAGATTGATGCACAACATAGCTCATAAAAGGTCTGTTCCCATCTTAAAAATATCATCCATTGATGCAAAAGAAGAAAAGAGCGTTAGCTTAAGGAAGAAGAAAGGAGATAAGCTCTTGTATATTAATTGAATGGATCCCAAAATGCATCACATTTAGCATATAGAGCAAGAATATCAAACTGCTCTAACAATTTTTTAACCAACTTTAATAAACCCAACAGGACGAAACAGTGAAGTACAAATAAGCATAGTTAGAAACATGAGTACAAATAAGCATAGTGAGAAACATGAGTACAAATACTTTAACCAACAAAACATTGATAAAATATATCATCGTGCTCCAACCTCGTCGACATTTTCAATCAGCTCCCTAAACCAGAATTAAGAAAATGGGCACTACTGTCTCGAGGACACTTTTAGTCTTGGCTAGCAACAATTTCTCAACAACATACCAGGATCTAAATAGTTTACTTGTCATAGTAGTTCAATTTTGCCACTCTCTACAAGCGGCTTTATCGATTTGTAACATATAAAGTAAAGGACACCGGCCTCCATTTCAAACAGCTTTGACCTGCAAAAACAATCAAATTAATTTGCTTTCTAAATTTTCTTAAAACTGCAGAATATACTTATGCAAGAAAAAGATAATTGCCTGTCATCAACAGGTCCATCTCCAAGCTGAATGCCTGTGAGATAATCTTTACTTCTACACAAAACAAATGTGTCTAGTCGTGGTTCTGGAACTGATACATGCAAAAACAAATTAATTGTCAGAGCAGATGCTTCGTCTGTGTCGGGAGACATCCTAGTCTCAGGGACATAACATATAGAAAAGAAAACATGGCCTGATTTGAAATAAATATTGGTATAGCCATCATCATAGGGTATTACAGTACAATAATCCTCAGACTGTGATTAAGTCATTCAATCCAATCATTCCAAAATCTTTCATATTGCTTGTAAAAATGCTAAAAGAATTTTTTTTATAACAGACTGATTTCAGTTCAGGCAAATCAAATTTGAATGCATCGAGTCCTAGCCGCTATGAAGCACAAACACAGACATGGCACGACACCGACATTGACACGTCGATAGCGGTAATAATTTGAAAATAAATAAATAAATTGAATGTAATCACAAGTGTCGGTGTCCGACACTGACACTGACACGGACACGCCTTTTTTCAGATGTACCGGTGCTCAAAGGTCCTGTACCGACAAAATGGTCCATAACATAATATCAAAACCAAAAATGACATTGATAAACAAGAATATTAAATTACTCATGTCATCCTCTTCACTAATTATAGATTGCCTCTCATAAGACTGATAATTTTCAGGCAGTTTTGATAGAACACTCTCCTCCAGATGTTTCTTTAGGTCATCTGAGCACCTACAACCAGAAAACTAGATTAAAAACCACAAGTAGCACACTTCGCTTCAAATTGAAAGTCCGAAATTTTCTTGTTACAATACATTGAGCTATCTTTTAAAACACGTTGAATAGCCTTACCTTTCAGTGAAAATTTTCTCATCCTTAGAAAGCCTGTTCCAAAGTTCTTCAGTTTTTCGGATGTGGAACATGTACTTTTCAATCTGCAATATAAATGTGGTTATTAAAATTGACCAAAATGCAATCTAGGAAACACAACAATAGGTGAGTGACTCTATACACCTCTTGATTAGTATTCAAATATTTCAACAATAAATGTGTGCCTACCTTATTTATATAAAATCTATGATACAGGTAGAAAGTAAGGTTGCAAAAAACATTCTTGTTAAAAAGAAGCTATACCCAAAAATAGAATTTCAATCTGGCTAAAGATCAATAAGGCCACTGCTATTGAGTGGTTCCACTGGTTTGAGCAAAACGTTAGAAGGAGTTAAAAGCCCTGAGCAATGTAGTCAAGCACAAGATCTTAAGTAGGATCGGTAGGCTTGTTAAAGATCGTAAAACTCGGATTGTTAGCATGGCACGTGAGATCTTAGGATAATGGTAATTTCATATACAGGCCCAAAAAACAGCCGTAGCACACTTTTTTTACAATCTTGCTTCAAAAAGCTTGATCTTGACCATGCCGGTGACAAAAACAATCTTTCTCTAATCGTAAAACTCTCAGGCATCCTTGGCACGTAAGGTTTTAGGATCTTAAGATCCAACACTCAATCTTTGACTACACTGGACCAGAGTCCAACTTCAGTTAACACAACTAATATACTAGTAAAGTCACTACTAGTACTCCAACTTCGGTTAACATAACAACTATTATACTAACTAAGTAAGGTCACTACTAATACTCCAACTCCGGTTAACATAACAACTATATTATACTAACCGAGTAAGGTCACTAATACTCTAGTGTACAAGTACAACCCTAAAATTATCTGTTAATTTTTCTTAATTACTGGTTTGAATCTATGGCCGTTTACCTTCAAGATACGGGTGCGAAGATACGACCTCAATAGAAAGAGGGTTCTATCCAAGTCCATTTGATACAAAGACACCGAAAGATGGTCAGTCCCAACAGTAGATTTTTCCTCCACAGTTTCTTCCTGTAAAACAACACACAACAAGAATCAAATCACAAGAGCAAATTCCCAATTTTCAGAACAAAAACATGAAAATGCAATAGGGTTTGAGATGTTACCATCAATTCAATTTGTTCTCTGACTCGGGCGATCAAATCAGATTGAAAAGGAAGAATCTCTGGGGCTGCTTTCTCGTTCCGCCAAGCTCGTTTGAGAAGTTCAACATCGGTGGTTGAAAGCATGGCGTTATAATCATCTTCAGCCTGAGTTGATTGTTCTCCTTCCGCAGATCTTGAAGCCATTGGTTAGAATTTAGAATGAAAATGAAAAAAAAATACAGTTGAACCTTTTCAGTAGCAACTAAAAATGTACAATTTTGAGAGAAAATCGCAACATCGATGTGAAACAAGACTGAGAAAACAGGAAGCAGAATCGGTCTGGTGTAACGTAATCTTGGAGAATTTTTTTTGAAACGAGGAGGAGAAAGGCGGGACGGTGATAATGTCGCGGCGGATTTAGGTTTTTGTACAAAGACTGTTTTTGGAGTGTTTTATTATTTTCAAAAAATGAAAAGAAAAAGTTGGCTATCCCATTATCCATATCCATTACATTCATTCATTTTGGGGTGTGTTTGCTTCGGGGTAGACGGAGGGGAGAGAAAATTTTTAATTAAATATGTTTGGTTTAAATTTTAGAAGAAGAGGGGAGGGGAGCAAAATCCCTCCAAAACACACTTTTTGGTTCTCTCCGAATTTGGGGATTTGGAGGGGAGGAGAGGGAATATGAGTTTTGATATTTAAAAATTATTATATTTACTAAAATATTCTCAGTTTAATTTTATTATTTCAAAACTATTTGTTATCTTTTGTATTACTGTTTTTTCTCGATTTTTTTCATCAATTTATTATAATTGTTCTCCACCTTCAAATTATTTTATAATTTTTATAATTAATATAAATCATAATCATTGTCTTTTTTTTATAAAAGAAGTTATGTTTCGTTATATTCGTTTTTTTCTTTTAATTTTGTTATGTACTCTATTATATTTTTTTTAATATCAAATTGTAAACCATATTATTTTATTTATTTTTGTTTATTCATTTTATTAAATATTTTGAATCATTAATATTTAGTAATAAGTTATTTTATATATTTGTTTTGTTATATGATTCATCACAATTTAAACGATGTTATTGACATATAGTTTAATTTATGTTGGAAAGTTATAAGTCGAATCGATTGTACTCAATTTTTTAACTTTATGTGACAAATAAATATTTTTTTAATCACTAAATATTGGAAATTTTATTACCAACAAAAATACGCACAAATTTTTCACATTTTAATATCATATGACTTATATAAGATCATAAGGATAAAAATGTAAATTATTAATAAAACCCCTCCCCTCCCCTTTTGAACCAAACACATTTTTAATTAAAATCCCTCCCCTCCCCTCCTCTCTTTTGAACCAAACACTTATTTGATTAAAAAATTCCTTCACCTCCCCTCCCCTTCATTAAAATCCCTCCCCTCCCCTCTCCCTCATTTGAACCAAACAAACCCTTACTTAAATTTCTGACAAAATTTATCGTGAATCTTTTAAGTTATTTTATTGTAAAAAGACAGTCATTTATATTTTTTTAATTATAAATTGATCTTTTATGTTAATTAACGTGTTTACTGTTGACTTTTTCACGAACTTCGTTCTAAAAAGACATATGTGGCAGTAACGATGTTAATGTGTCATTCAATAGTGCTGAATAGACATTTGTCTTATTATTTCTTATATTTATGGAGAAAAATAAGAGGATAACTATAAATCATCAATTCATAAACATAGGAGTCCTAAATCTCATCACTCCATCAATGACCTCATACGATAGCAGTGAACCAAATCGAATATGTCAGAACTCTAACACCTTTATTTCGAGTACATCCAGACCTGGAATCGAACCGACATGTCCGTGTGGATCCAAAGCAGTGTTAAGAACAATTAAGAAGAAAGGAAGAAATTTTGGGAAGCTATTTTGGGATGCATATGCTATGTGGTACGTGTGTTGTGCATAGTTTTGCATATTTGATTTATTTTTCCTGTTTCTGAGATGGTTTGACATATTTTATGTTTTAGTTTATGTTATTGTTAACATAGTGAAGATGGTAATGTGGGTTGCAATTTTTTTTAGTGGTACGAAAATCATTACAGTAAAGAAGTCAAACCAGAGATACAACCCTCAGTCATTTTAAAATGTTTCAAATGTGATGAAAAGGATGTTGAAATCAACATGCTTAGAAGGGGCATTTGATAACATGATTTTGTATCATATTTTTAGGCTCACTTTGCGTATTTTAGGTTCAAGTTTTTATCGAGTCTTTTGCATTTTATCGTGTTCTTACTCTGTTTTCATGTTGTCAGGTGTTCCCATCGAGATCCTAGAAAAAATCGAGAAAAGAAGTGAAAGAGAGGAAAAATCCAGCTAGAACAACAAAAATCAGCAAGATCTGCCAACCTTTCTGACATGGCGCTCGCCACCTCCAAATGGTGTTCGCCATCTGCCTCCTGAAGGCCACCTCACATCCATAGAGACCATGATGCTTGCCATGGGCACCACGACGATCGCCATACAGTTTGCAGGAGCAGTTTTAACTATAGAATTCGGTTTTTGAGTAGTTTCTAGCAGTTTTTTTCCCTCCAAGTCCAGAATTCGAAATAGAAGTTATTCAACTGTATTATCCTCTATAAATAGCCCTCTTGGAGGGTAGTTCCAAAGGATCCAACCCCGTGCGGAAGCGCTGCAAAACTTTCTTTAGACCTTTAACCATATATTTACTTTCCAAAGTAACAATTGCTCACACCGATGAATTGTTACAATATTGTACTTTATTTTTTGTTGCGCTGCTGTATACTTGAATCGAAGATTAATAAAAGTTTTTTTTTCGTTTAGTCCATTGCAATTTATAGATTCTTATTTTTTTTTGTTTTTACTGCATTTTATTTTTAGGTGTCTGCAACTTAACTTATTTTCATAAAAACCAAAAACTAATATTTTCTTAAAATCAATTCAATATGCATGTTGTAATTTTTAGAATTGTTAACATGTTAGGATTATAATTCATTATGTTCGGCTAAATTAACTAAAGTCTATCTTATGAGGATCGTCGTAACTGGCGGGACTCCATAGTTATAATAGGTACGAAATTGTGAATGCATGCCATTTTGGTTGTAATTTTAAAGTCTAATTTAAGTAGCTTTGTCGCGAGAGTGAGAAGTTATTTAACATTGTTTCGTCACGAGAGTGAGAAGTAAATAAAGGTTTAAGCAGAGATCCGTGAGAGCGTGAGGAGTGAACCAGATAGTGGAAATTAGGCATCAATATCTAAATACAACGAGAGCGCTTTAGATGTTGATTAAGATATTATTGGCTTTCAAAGAGCAATTCTTAGTTACCGGGCGAGTGAAAGCAAAATCTTGGGATTAAGAAGTACGACTTAGTTAAGACCGCGAGAGCGTGAGGCGGAGCCTTTTAAGTCGGTATATCCTACGGAATAGGCGTGTAGACATAATTAGTACCCTTTATCTACAAGGTCCTTTAGGTGCACGGAAATCACATTTCGAGCTCGTTTTAGTATTATTTTCAGATCTTAGATTTCATCCCCGTAATTAGTGTTAACTCCTGTTTAACTCAAGCCTTAGCTTTGCACATCAACCATTGATAACATTAGCTTGATTATCTTTCCCTGTAGGTTCGACAACCTTTTTAAGACTACACGATCAACTGTATGCTTGCAGATTTATCCGTCAGTATCGACCAATCAAGTTTTTTGCGTCGTTGTCGGGGACATATTTAGTCAATATTGTGAATCTTTTGTTGCGCAGTATAGACTAAGACAACTTTTTCTTTTTATTATTTTCCTATAATTTGTCGATTGTATGCTAAGCACTCGCTCATAAGGCAAAGAGTTAGAGCAACCAATTGCCGAAATCAAGCGTTTTATTAGCTTAAGTCGCCGAATAAACGGATTCCGTATTGAATATAACCTTCCAGACCCTATCGTGCTTTACTCAGATTCGGAAACCGAAATCGAACCAGAACAAATCATGGCCCAAGGACCTCAAACCCGTCCCTTGAAGGATTTCGTTGTTCCATCGCAAGATGAACCTCATAGCAGCATTATTGCTCCAGCAATCAATCGAAATGATTTCGAGTTGAAACCTTCGCTGTTACAAGTCGTTCAACAAAATCAAATTTTAGGAAGTCCTACGGATGACCCAAACTTACATTTATCAGTTTTTGTGCAATATGTCAACACTGTAAAAGTAAATGGTGCCAGTCAAGAAGCGACTAGACTACGTCTTTTCCCGTTTTCTTTAAGAGATAGAGCTAGAGCTTGGTTCCAGTCTCTACCTTCAAATTCTGTCACGACATGGGATGAATTGAAGAGAGAATTTCTAACCCAATATTTTTCGCCAAGCAAAACAGTTATGCTGAGAGCTCAAATTAATGGATTTAAGCAAAAAGACAACGAATCTCTTTTCGATGCTTGGGAAATATATAAGGACATGATGAGGCTTTGCCCGCATCACGGACTTGAGCAATAGCTGATAATATATACTTTCTATAATGGTCTATTGTACAACACCAAAATGAACTTAAGTGCTTCCGTAGGTGGTGCTTTAATGGATAAACCATATGAAGAAGTCGTTGAACTCAAAGAGAACATGGCTCAAAACCACTTCCAATGGGGAGGAGAACGCGCTGCTACCGAAAGACCAAAGCCGAAAGGCGGAATGCATGAAGTTAACGCCATAGACCGCATAAATGCTAAAGTGGATGCATTAACTCAAAAGATTGATAGCTTAGCCTTAACACCACCAGCAGCTACCGTAGGTGCAGTTACACCAAGTTGCGAATTATGTGGAACCCCTGGGCATACAAATTTTGAATGTCAGTTATTGGCTGGTGTTTCTACCGACCAAGTGAACTATGCTCAAGTAAACCCATATTCAAACACTTATAATCTTGGCTGGAGAAATCACCCAAATTTTTTGTATAAAAATAACAATGCTTTGCATCCACCAAGTCCAGCACCTGCTATTCCACCTAGTTATCAGAAAGGAGAACAATCAGCTTCATAAGTACCTAGAAAGTCAAATATGGAGATCCTGATGGAAAACTTCATAAACGCTCAAGTTCAACAAAACAAAGAATTTGCAAATCAAAACGCTCATGCGAGTGAACTGGTGAAACAAATGACGAGTAAACTTGACGCTATGGCTACTCACAACAAAATGCTAGAAACT